TTTCTTTTCTTTTCTTTTCCTTCTGACGGAGTCTCGCTCCGTCACCTAGGCAGGAGTGCAGTGGTGTGATATTGGCTTACTTCACTCTGCCTCCTGGGTTCAATCAATTCTCCCACTTCAGCCTCCCGAGTAGCTGGAACTACAGGCGCCCGCCACCACGCCTGGCTAATTTTTGTGTTTTTAGTGGAGACAGGGTTTCACCATGTTGGCCAGGCTGGTCAAACTCCCGACCTCAAGTGATCTGCCTGCCTCAGGCTCCCAAAGTGCTGGGATTACAGGCATGAACCACCGCGCCAGGCTGACATTGTTTTCTGTCTTGATGTGGGTGTTCCTTTAACAATAATCTGTCAGGTTGCATTTTTGTGTTTGTTGTGTGTGCGTGTGTGTGTGTGTGTGTGTGTGTGTTTCATTGCTTTTCTGAGTGCTTATTTCATGTCCTAATAAAAACAAATTGGGTAGCTTTTAAACTTTTCTCAACACTTTGGCATTTATTATCTAGGTTGGGTTTAACCTCTCCTTTGTGTATGTGTAAGATATTGCCCAAAGGATGTGTAGATCCGGGAGATTTTATTTTCTTATTTAACAATAGCTTGTAGATTAGCATGCCTCTATGGACTTCATCCTTTGTCACAGCATGAAGTAGTATAGCCTGGCCATCCAGTTCCCTGTTAATGGACATGGTGGTTGTTCCCAGGTTTTTCTATTACAAACAACTACTGCAGCCATTTCAGATCTCTGCATCTGGCCTGCGCAGTGGCTCGCGCCTGTAATCCCAGCACTTTGGGAGGCTGAGGTGGGTGGATCATGAGGTCAGGAGTTTGAGACCAGCCTGACCAACATGGTGAAACCCCGTCTCTACTAAAGATACAAAAATTAGCCGGGCATGGCGGCGGGTGCCTGTAATCCCAGCTACTTGGGAGGCTGAGGCAGAGAATTGCTTGAACCCGGGAGGTGGAGCTTGCAGTGAGCTGAGATCGTGCCACTGCATTCCAGCCTGAGTGACAGAGCAAGACTCCATTTCAAAACAAACAAACAAAATAAAACAAAACCAACAAACTTTGCATCTTCTCAACCTTAAGCTTCACAAGTTCCTTTCTCACTCTCAGCTGGTGACATTATCTTCTGTTTGCCAGAGAAAATGGAAGCCATCAGGTGAGAATGTCTGGCAACCCTAAATATTCACTTACCTGCATCTCTACCATCATATATGCCTTCCCGTAGCAGGCGCTCAATAACTTTCTTGATGCATTGACCCGGAGATCTTCATTTCCAGTCCAGTGTTGTTATACCTCAGATGCTCTGTCTACATGGGAGCTAGCCACAGGGGTCAGGAGCAGACCCAGGCCCCCTGTTCACCAAAGGTCTCGCATTTTAGACTTTTGGGATTACCTCCAAGGGAGGTTACTTACCCATATACCCCTGCCCTTAACACAGAATTGCTATTCTCTGTCACTCAGGTTGGACTGCAGTGGAGTGATCATAGCTCACTGCAACTTCCAACTCCTGGGCTCAAGTGTTCCTCCCACTTCAGCCTCCCGAGTAGCTGTGACCACAGGCACTCACCACCAGGCCCAGCTAATTAAAAAAAAAAAAAATTTAGTACAGATGAGGTCTTGCTATGTTGCCCAGGCTGGTCTTGAAATCCTGGACTCCAGTGATTCTTCCTCCTTGGCCTCCCAAAGTGCAGGAATTACAGGCATGAGCCACTGCACCCAGCCTGAAGGATTTTTAACATGATTTCTGATTCCCAAGCTTTTTTTACTTTGTGCGTGCGTGCGCGCGCATGGTGTGTGTGTGTGTTTGAGATGGGGTCTCTTTCTGTCCCCCAGACTGGAGTGCTGTGGCACAATTATGGCTCACTGTAGCCTCAACCTACCGGGCTCAAGTGATCCTAATCCTCCTGCCTCAGCCTCCTGAGTATCTGAGACTATAGGTGTGTGTCACCACACCCAGCTAATTCTTGTATTTTTTGTATAGATGGGATTTTT